ATACAAAGAGAGCAACAACCTGTATGGAGACATCTGATAAGCGCTCTGAAAGAAGGATAGTGCGAAACACACTCAAAATACATGTGTGTTTGATGCACTTCTGTTTCCTAAAGACATCAACCTGAGGTAAAATTCTCTTTAGAGTTTAGAAAATAATAATGATCAATTTTCTGTTGCCCTTAAACATGTACCCACTCACCTAAAGGTCATCATTATACTGTATCTCCTTCCCTTTTCTCTTTGGTGGCTATTATCTTTATAGATCATGTATCAATTATTATTTATAACTGTGGCAGGTCCGCCAAATTGCTATATTATTGAGTACATTAGTCCAATTTATCAAATGTATTTCTGTGGACTGCCAGTTAGAGGGAATCCATCCGCAGAACATGAGAACTGCGTCTGGGTTCAAATCCAGCCTTGCTGTGAGGCGGCAGTGCTAACCAGCGAGCCAATGTGCCATCTTGTTATATCTATTATACATTCTTATGATGTTATTACGGTTGAATAAAGAGTTTTCCCTTCTGTCACAGGCAATAATAACAATATCAGACCGCGAGGAGGAAGAAGCGACCTGGCAGTGTGGACGGATGACTGCTCTGCATCTAAGCTGAAGCATTGTACTGTATGAGATATTGTGTGCAAGTCTACCTAATGTCAGAGTAAATGCATTGAACATTGACAGAGTGTACGTCAAAAGATAAATGGAGGAATAGTAGATATAAGCAGTATGTTCTCAGTCCGATGATGCTTGCATGCACATCCATCTGTAAGCATTAAAGAAAGGTGAAACTTTTGGTGGCACTTTGACTGCACCTCCCCAATTTGTTGTTGTAATAAAAATGACATGCGTCTCTGTCTTCTGAAGCTTTCCCTGCCATGTATTTGTAAGTGCAAATATTGTATCTGTATTTGGCACCCAAAAGTCAGCTGGCTTCTACTCTTGGTCCACCCTCCTTTCTCTGAGAGTCAGAGCACTCAAAAAAAACAAAATATTAATATTAACATTTATCAGATGAGGGGACAACTTTCCATCTGAAATAATGAAGAAGTATCCCTTAATGATAAGCAAGATGTTTTAAATAGATGGAAACATTTAGATCTGCATTGTTCTAAAACAGGTTTTACTTCACAGACGGATTTGAAATGTTATAGGAATATTATTTTTTTACAAAAAAATGATATTGATTTGAAAACAGCAGGTCTTTACCCCTCACTGCTACAGATCTTGAGGGTGACGGGATTTTGGACAGAAACTCTCGCTCACTATTTGAAGCCCACTTGTCAAATGCAATACACTTTAAAGATTTCCCAGTATGGAGATGAATGTCTGAAGGTTTACAAGGCAAGAGTTTTGCAGACAAGGCAAGGTTTTTCTTTTCAATTATTGGAAGAATGACATCAAACAGCATATTTCAGGATGCCTCAGATGTAGATCAATACATAAGATCCCTCAAACAGCAATTTTGCAATTGCTGCCACCAAAGATACAATCTAACAAGATGATCTGAAAAAATAGAAATATAGGTGTTCATTTAACTGTCACTATGTCTATTGACTTGTTGTGTGACTATACATTTTTAAAGAGGACTGTATCCATGTATACTACAGTTAGTTTGAGAGTAGCATAAAGTGTCATGGCAGAGAAAAACAAGCAATAGGGGAAACTATAGGTTACTTACGTAACCCCAGTTCTCAGAGTAACATGAAGTGAGATGTCTCACTATGGGATGCGCCTCATCGCGGAGCAAACAGAAGCATCAATCTCATTACGCCAATCCTGATTGGCTGGTGATCTTGACGTCAGCGTCAGGGAATCCACCCACCCTATAAGTAGCTTGCGCTACGCCTCATGCGTCATTCAAAATAAGCACCTCTTCTCGCTTCACCATAGCAAGGAGGGCCGTCTGGTGAGACATCTCACTTCATGTTACTCTGAGAACTGGGGTTACGTAAGTAACCTATAGTTCTCATTCGTAACACTCCGTTCGATGTCTCACTATGGGATATTGTAGCTCCCGTATTGCCAGACGAGCTTATCTCGAAAATCACCAAACCAACCAGAACTTAACAGTTAGAGCTCTAACTCAGCAGGGGGCCCAGCACTGCATGGGCCACACTGGGAGCAGAGACGTGTAATCTGTAAAAGCGGACAAAAGTGAGCGGCGAGGACCAGCTCGCTGCTGCACAAATGTCTTGGATGGAAACACCCCTGAACAAAGCCCAGTATGTAGCCAGACCACGAGTCGAATGAGCACGCAAACCCGAAGGTGCCTGCAGACCCTGACTCGTGTAAGCCAAAGCAATTGCCTCCACAATCCAGTGAGAGAGCCGTTGCTTAGTAACAGGCTTGCCCTTCTGAGGGTTAGCCCAGGACACAAAGAGTTGGTCATTATGACGAAACTCTTTTGATCTGTCCATATAAGTGCGTAAAGCACGGACTGGACATAGCAAATTCGGCTGCTGTTCCCCGGAGGTACACAGCGGCGGAGGAAATGCCTCAATGTCAATGGGGGTACATGAACCAACCACCTTAGGTATAAAGGCAGGGTTGGGCTTCAGCAACACTCTCGTTAACCCTCGGGCGAACTGAGTGCATGAAGGATGTACAGATAGCGCATGAATGTCACTGACTCGCTTGGCGGATGCCAGGGCCAGTAACAGCACTGTCTTGATTGACAGGTGCTTCATGTCAGCTTCTTCCAGGGGTTCAAATGGAGCTCGAGTGAGCCCATCTAAAACCACTGTCAAGTCCCATAAGGGCACCAGTGACCTGGAAACAGGAAGGAGCCTGCGAGCTCCCTTCATAAAACGGCAGACCAGAGGATGCTGGCCGGCCGTCTTTCCCTCAAAACCCACATGGCATGCAGCAATAGCAGCTAGGTACACTTTGATCGTGGAGAAAGCTCTGTGTTTATCAATTAGGTCCTGTAGAAATGATAAAATCACTCCCACAGGGCATTGAAAAGAGGTGTGCCCTTTTTGAAGGCACCAGTCCTCAAACACCCTCCACTTACAGTCATAAAGAGACCTAGTGGAGGAAGCTCTTGCACTCTGAATAGTGTTTATCACCTTCTGTGGGAGACCCACTGCATTCAGATTATACCACTCACGGGCCAGGCCCATAGGGCCATGCGCTCCGGATGTGGGTGAAACAGTATGTCTCTGCGTAGGGGGAGCTGCCACGGCTGACCGCACAGCAGCTGATATATCTCCGCCAGCCAGTACATTGCAGGCCAGTGCGGAGCTATCAGGATCATTGTGTGTCGCAGTTCCCTCACTCTGGCCAGAGTTGGGGGTATCAGCGCCAGGGGTGGAAACGCGTACAGGAGGACCGGAGGCCAAATGTGCTCTAGCGCGTCCACACCTAATGGTGCGCTTTGATCGCGCATTGAAAAGAAAAGCTGACAGTGAGCATTTTCTTTTGATGCGAACAGATCTACCGCGGCTCGGCCGTAACGCACCCACAGCTGGCTCACAACCATTGGATGTAGAGTCCAGTCTGCATACAGTGGTACACCTCTGGACAGCAGGTCTGCCCCGAGGTTCATCACACCCGGTACGTGCGTCGCTCTCAGAGAGAGGAGACGGCCGCAGCTCCACAAGATCAGTTTGCGTGCCAGCATGTGTAACTGGAGAGAGCGCAAACCCCCTTGTCGGTTTATATACGATATTGTGGTCGTATTGTCCGTCCTCACGAGGACATGGTGTCCTCTGAGAAAAGGCAGAAAGTATTTTAGGGTGAGGAACACCGCTAAAAGCTCCAGGTAATTTATGTGCGACCGCTGGAGGTCTCTGCTCCAGAGACCCCTCACCGGACGACCTTCGTAAATACCTCCCCAGCCTGTCAGCATGCGTCTGTGGTGACCACCTTCCGTGAAAGGACAGCACCCATAGGCACGCCCCGTACCAGAAAAGTCGGGTGCAGCCAGTTGCGCAGTGCCATTACGCATTTCACGGTAACCATCACTCTCCGCGCGCCATGACGCGCGGGTTTAGTTATAGAGCGGCTACCCAGCGCTGAAACTCCCTCATGTGTAACCGTCCCAGTCGTACGACCAGGATGGCTGACGCCATGAGCCCCAGTAACCGCAGGCATGATCTGAAAAGAACATGTTTGCGCAGCTGGAAATGAGCGAGGCAAGCTCTGAAAGCTTTCACTCTTTCCGCTGATAGGCGGGACTGTAAAGGGCACCGAGTTCAGGTGTAACCCAGGAAGAGTACAGTCTGTGCCGGGCACAACATGACTCTTTTCTGTGTTTATTATGAAACCCAGGTTAAGCAGGTGCTTTACGAGGATATTTGTCTGCGTAATAGCCTCCTGTTCCGACTGTGTGAGGAGCAGCCAGTCGTCTAGGTAGGTTGCCAGGCGAATACCCTGTTGTCTTAACGGGGCTATCGCGGCTTCCGTACATCGTACAAACACTCTTGGACTGAGAAACAGACCGAAGGGAAGTACTCTGTATTCGTAACAGATCCCCTGAAATGCGAACCTCAGATATTTCCTGTGTGGGTAATATACTGGGATGTGGAAATACGCATCTTTCAGGTCGACTGATGTAAACCAGTCGTTTTGTCGCACGAGACGCAGCAGAGATGTGTGAGTGAGCATTCTGAATTTGTATCTTTTAGATATTTGTTAAGGCCTCAAATCTAGTATTGGCCGAATTCCGTTCCCTCCCCGTTTGGGAACGAGGAAATACTTGGAATAAAAGCCGCTCTGACTCTGCTCGGCGGGTATTATAGATATAGCCTTCTTTTCTAGAAGTGAGAGAATCTCTCTCTCCAGAATATGGGCTGACTCTCTCGGCCTTGTGATACAGAACGCCCGAGAAGCGAGGGGGGGTGACAGCGAATTGGAGTCTGTAGCCCCGTGTTACTGTCTTGAAAACCCAAGCAGACGTTGTGAGCATCTCCCACTGTTTGCTCCTTAGAGCCAGCGGAGATGTCACGTCTCTTACCCTCTGAGTCTCTATTTGTTGTGTTATGGGGCCCTCTAGTGTCTGAACACGATGGTACCCCCATTTCGACAATCCCCACCGAGACTGCGCATGCGCGCGTGACGGTGGTGCCTTCACAACCCCAGCCGGCACTGCGCATGCGCGTGACGGTAGCGGCTCTATAACCCCAGTCGTCACTGCCGCATGCGCATGGCGGTGGTGCCTTCACAGACCCGTCTATATCCGCCTTTGAGAGAGGCCGTAGCTGCTCTCAAAAGAGGGACAGGCGACAGACTGTTTATTGTTTTTATTGTCTTTCTTTTCATTTTTTTGGACTGCGCCCTCGGCTTGAAGCCCTGGATGCCGACAGTGAAAAATGGTTTATTTGAAACAACAACAATTGTGACATGTGTTTTTGTGACTTAGGCAGATAGCAGAACTCCGCTGTCTCTGGTATTAAGTCTGTTTCCCTTCTGGCGCGAACTTGAGGATGGCGTGCGGCATCACTCGAGGCGACGGGAAGATGGAGGCTGGTGGCACCCCGAAAACACATCTGGAGGCTGGGGAACAGGGAACTTCCAGCCTCTGTCACCGAGGAGAGGAGAGGAGGCTGTCAGGCCGGCCCGCTTCTTCTTCCTCGACTGTGACGCCGAAATCTGAGTCGGCTGTGGCCTGAACAGCAGCTGCCGAAACCGGAGATTCCTCGGCAGCTCGTCCCTCGGTCTCCTGCCTGGGCTGGGGACTCGGGGCGGGCCTGTGGCCTCTGCTGCCTCGGTACCCTTGAACCGGGCAGGACGTGAGGCAACTTGGCGAAGGACTGCCGCGAGACCGTGCAGGTAGCGGCTGGCCCCTTCGGGGAGACAGAGGTGGAGGGCCCTCGTCTTCCTTCTTTTTCGACCTCAGCATCTCGGCTGCATCGAGACTAAAAGCGGAGCCGAAAATACCCTCGGGAACGATAGGCATGTCAACGAACATCCTCCCTTTTCCCGGTCTGGGAGGTTGGTGCAGGTTGAGCCATCTGGCTCTCTCCTGCACCACATAATCCCATGACTTTGCCCGTGGCCTGGACTCGGCACAGCCGCTGGCACACGGAGGCAAAATGTCCGTGATCGCTGCGATCTCGTCCCATACGGCCGGCCAGGTTTGCTCGATAGGTCCTCGCAGAGCTCCGCCTGGTAAGGCGGTCAGCAGTGAGGAGACATTGAGAGTGCCTGGCGGACAACGCTGCGGCTTTTATAGTAGGGACCGTTCATCGTCATCGCTGACTGGAACCGGTCTGCCTTCAGCCGGTAGCGTGGGGTTCCTGCGTTGGTGTCAGGAAGCCAGCTCCTCGGTTGGAGGGTGGGCTGCCACCAAGCGGTTCCATGGGCGGCATGCGGAGCAGGGCGCGAGCCTCTCCATACCTCACAGTCCAGGGAGGAGGCACCCTGGATTGGGGGCCTTATTAGCTGAAGGGGCCGGTCTCTCCACGAGACCGACACCTCAGCCAAGCATCTTCCCGGGAAGACTGGAAGAGAGTGCCTCTTTGTCCTCCGCTGCTTGGGGCAAAAGTCTTCCCCTCGTAGCGAGACCTGGAGGTCTCCTTGGCCATTTCAGGGCCATGGGATGTCCAGCCTGGACGCGGCACGTTGACACACGCGCCTGCAGGTCCATGCTCAGACAGGCGCGAAGCCCAGAGCAGCCATCGCTCCCGGCTTTGCAGCCTGAGCTGATGACACGAAGACATCATCGTCTTGGCTCATCCGAGTCGGACAGGAGGAACTCAGAGGGCATCCTCCTTCGTCCCGCCTCCTCTTGTAGTCCCAACTCCAGGGACATCAATGCCGCGGGCGAGACCCATGGTGAGGTCCAGTTGGGAGCTCCCAGCCTTGACACAAGCGCGGGGCTCCGCTCTCGCGGGCCTGTTGCCGCCACGGGTCCGCTCTGACACGGCGCGGGCTCCGGTTCAGCAGCTGCGCTGTTATTGAAGCCCAGCCTGAGCCAGCAGCGCGGGGCTCCTCAATCTCCGCAGCGGCGGAGCGCCACCATGTCTTGATTGGCGCGCCGGCGAAACAGGCGGACCATGAGGGGTCCTGTCCCGACAGGCTAGCTTGGCGTGCTAGGCCGTCCCGGCGGAGGCTCTGATGGTGAAGCGGCACAACATGGCGCGCACGAGCAGCCGGCGGTTGATCGATAGCCCTGGGCGTGTTCCAGCCCGAGGCAGGACGAGCAGACCTGGTGTGAGTCTGTCCC